GCTATCCTGAGAGTAGAAACCTGCAGGACATGACAGTTGAAGACAGGTGAGGTGGCATTGCACGGTGGTTGGAACAAAAGGAATTACCTTTGTTGGGTCAAATATGCCTGCTATCGTGCTCAGGAATGAGTTGTGACCTTTGACACAGTGTCCAAGTTAACTCCTTCGAGTTGGAAGAAGAACGGATCCATAGCGATGTGCGATTAGAAGGAACACCGTTTACGCCATCACAGGTTCGAGGATATTGTGCGTGGCCGACCTGAGGTGAAGTAAACGAGTTAACACCACACGCTGCCTTGATAAGAGCCAACCAGGAGCGAAAACCATAGCCCAGGGGAGGGTGCCGTTTCGGTCGGAACAACTCGTCCAGTAACTTCCACCGATGACGCTGAAGACCGCACTGTTGTTATCTTCAGCGTCGTCTGATCGGGCTACATGTGCCCATCGATCCTACCAAGCGAATTATCATCCTGACTGACAAGGTGTGAGTACTACCCGCCACAACGAACCCACAAGGAGGATGGACCTAACTCATCGATAGCGACAATCCAGAGTCAAGGCCACTTTTCCCACTCCAACAACGTAAGTATCCAGTGGATGAGATCGACCAAGCAGTGCACACGATATGCGGAAATAGTGCGCCGAAAACCGGAGGAGAATTGAGGAGCCCTTAATTTACGATAGGTGAGGATTTTGCGGGGTAGGAGTGTTTTTCAGCCGTCCCAAGTTGGTTTACACTCGAGAGTGAATTGGACGACCGGTGTTCAAAACGCAAATCATAGAACGCAGCGCCTAGACCTTGTGCGTCATATCCTCTAAAATACAATGCAAATTTAGTGGCGTTAGTCGTACATATTCAATGTCAACGTGTCATAGTTTGGCGGAGAGGGATCCAATCGTGAGGTACTGCCGTCAGAATGACAGTGAGCGAGAGCTGGGCAGGCAATCAATGGAAGCTGTGGCGAAGGACGAAACATAGGAACAAGGGTTACAGTTCCGACGTTTTGACACTTCAATATGAATATGAAATGCCGGACTTAAGCTTAAGCCAAGGGCAAACCGCTTCCCCAGGTCACAGTATAAATTCCGAAGGATGACCAGCCCTAGTATCCTCGAAGAGGGTCGCCGTCCGACGTGCAAGGTCCAACGGAGATACAGTTGTGGCCCAGAGATCCGTAGCTGAGAAAGCAACACCTTAGAGAGAGACCTTGGACCAGCAGAGCTTGGAGACCTGATGCCAGCATAGGCCAGAATTCTATACGGGACCAATTGTGTTTTGGTTGAAAAAAAAACGTCGAAATTTTGGGTCACATTGTTGGGAAAATACTCTTAAACAAAAAACCCACCGAGTCCGCACCCTCTGCTGTCAGTTGTCAATTAGATCCTCAGAACCCGCTGGACAGTGGACGTCAGCGAGGAGAACACTGGTGGGAGGCTGGGATGGGAAGCCTTGAAGCTTTAGGGTTAGTCGGACTTTGAATACGGACCTCAGGTCACAAAAGCAGCCCACAGAGCTTAACCTTGCAACCACGAGGCAAGGGCCCCAAAAGAGGAAGATGACTCGAGCAAAAAAAAACTTGAAACTTGCTGAAAAAGTAGCAGCACCTTGTTTCGATCAAGGGACCTCGAGGTTATGGGCCTCGCGCGCTAACCTCTGCGCCATGCTGCTGCATGAGGATATGGCTTGGGTAAGCCTATAAATACAGGAAAGTCGACTTCTATATGGCGTAAATAATTTGCACCTACTTGTCTTCAGTGTATATCGCTCAGAACTTATAAATGAGATTCAAGTGTGTGTAGTAATATGCGAAGGAGTGCACCTGTCAAGAATAATTCTAATCCGTGTAATGCGAGGGGCTGCGCCGTTTCATGCATCCCGAGAGGTCAACGCCTCGAACGGCTTTTAGTAATAACAGTTCAAAGTCAAAGCGGAATATCGCAGTGTAGCCAAATTAGGAGGAAGGACGAATTATCGCTGGCGAACAAAGTTCGCAGCAGGCCCGCTAGTACGCAGAACACCGAGATGTGCTACGAAACAAGTCAGAATACATGGTAACCTGGCTTCTTTTGAACGCACCAGGTCTCCGTTCCCAACCTCTACTCTTCGCGACAGCACTCTTCAGCGCAAGTGTCCTGTCAACGAACTTGCGAACTTTTCTTGAAGGCATAGTTCCTTTCCCAGCAGAGGCAGCTTTTGAGGCAGCTGCCGATGCCGAAGTTGTAGTTGAATTCAGGTTTCGTATCACCCGGGATCTTCGAGACGAGAAGAAGATTAGCCTCTAATATCCCATGAAGGGAAGGAAACGCAAACATACCCAAGAACCATATCCTTATGCGAACTCTCTGGGTGACTATGCTTCCTCCGTTTGTTGGGAGCCTTTTGACTCTCATGCGATGAGGACTCTTGTTTTCTCTTCGTTTGAGTGACACCGGAGAATGCAGCAGTGAAGAGCTCATCAGGAAGATGATTTGGGTTTCGTTTTCTCTTCAACGATGATGAAGAGCCGTCGAGCTCAGTTCCGGATCCGTCCTCGTCATCACCACCGTCGCCGCGCTCTGATCCTTCCTCGTCGGAGCCGTCCCCGTCTTCAAGCTCGCTCTCATTCACATCATCGCCGTCTGCGTCCGAGTCAACCCCTTCCTCACCCTGGGCCTCCTTCATTGCTCGCTCCATCCTCGCAAGAACGTCATTATCCTCCCCCTGTTCCGGGTCAACGTCGTCCTCATCACTTCCGTCGTCTCTGATATCAGGCAACTCCTTCCTTTTCCTCTCCTCAGCCTGTTCCTTCAACCTGCGATCCCTTTCCCTATTCTTTGCCCGTTTTTGTTCCTTTTGATGCGCTTCGGCATTGGCGATATTTCTCTCTCGCTGCCTGCTGTCCTTCTTGGATTGAGATAGGTTCACCGCTTCTGGAGCGTCATTTTCAGAATCGCTAGAGTCGGAATGTTGCTGAATTGCAACTTTTTGGGACTTTTTGGATGGCATGCTTTGCGTGGAAGAGGGTTTGGGATCGTAAAAGGCAGTTACGTAACACGATGTCGATTTTCGGCAGCTTGTCGCGACATCAGCCTGTCGCATCGTCAAAGTCCGAGTAGGTATAGGTAGTCTATTAGGATGCTATACAAAAATAAAGATGCCAAAGATAATATACATCTGCAAAATCCAAGGGAAAAAATCAGGAAAAATATTTCACTTCCGAAGGACATGGGGCTCAACAGCTGGCGACAAAATCAACGACTTCCAGAGTTGTCGCCAGGAAATGGGATTTCCCTGAACAAATCGTCAAAAACTGGTCTGGAGAAAGGAGAGTTGGGACATACCACATCGCGTTGCATGACGCAAAAACTACCATTTGAACTTCGGTAGCTGAATTTTTCAAGGATGACCCATCCTTTGTATACGACCTTCCTTCGATCATATCCACCTATTCTCAACCGCAACGCGTCACTGTTTTCATTTCCTGGTTGTTCGTTCTTAGGGGCCTGCTTGCATTTGACACCCATTGACTCTAAGCTCTCAATGATGAGAGTCATGAGCAACGCAGGCCCAAGGGAAGCATAGAACCGTGTAAGATGAGGTGTATATCGACTGCCTGATTGTGTTTGCGACTGAAGGAAATCGTTTCAGTCAAGAAACTACATATATGCAGTGTATACGCACGAAAAGCATCAAAGTTTGGGTAAATTGTGATTTATGGGTGTTGCCGCCCATCGCTTGATCCCCATCTTCATCCATTCCACCACTAAAACGGGTGAGTCAACTGAGGAGTGGCGTAGCGTTAGAAGGACCTACTTTGGTTCGGAGAAGTTTGGGGCTGCGAGGCCCAGATCACCGTTCGCGCGTAGAGACTGCGTGAGCTTTTCAGCCAAGGTAAAGACCCCTTGACTCGCAAGTTGGCTTTGCCTGAGCAAGGGCGGTTATTCCGCGAGAATTGATCAAAAAAAGACGAAACGCACCTCATACACCACGGGTGTTGGACAATATCAGCTATGCGCATTCGATCTCGGGGTTCCACAGTCAACATTCCAGTAATCAATGCTAGATATAAGATGGCATTAAGAAGAGGGCGCAAAGTAAGACGTCCCACACTCACACAGTGCCATGTCGGGGAGACGACTCCAAGGTTGATCATCAATGAATTCACCCGAAAGGTATCGCATAAACTCTGGACTCGACGCAGATGGCTCATCCCAGGGAGTATCTGCGGTGGCAAGGAGTAAGCATATGCAAATCGGATGTGAGGAGCCAACATACTGCCAACGAGCAACGCGAACAGGATCACACCCATACCCCAAACGTCGATGGGCTCAGCATGGTATGGTTCATCTCCACTGAGCTACAGAGGAGTTGGTCGGCCACCCAAGTACAATTCAAAAATTGGACATACCTCCGGAGCAACATAAGGTAAGCTTCCACAACGTTCCGTCAACATCCGAGTCTTCTCCTTCAGCCTGTACACCGAGGATAGACCAAAGTCAGATATCTTCAACGTTCCGGCAACGTCCAGGAGGATATTTTCAGGCTTCAGGTCTCGGTGGCAGACACCTTGATTATGAATATAATCCTATGACCACACATCATGAAAAGTGGTAGATGAGAGACTCGAGCAGTGCACATACCATCCCAGACACAAGTTGGTTGAAGTAAAAGTGTGCCACCTCGTCTCCAACACCCACATCTGGCGCTGCGAATCCAGTCTTTAATCCCATGTCATAGATGCATTCGATGAAAGCCAACGCACCTATTTTATCAAACAAATCCCCTCCAGCCGCCAATTCCAACAGGATATAGATGCCTGGGACAAACTGCTTCTGAAATTTCAATTCCACCACAACCGCGTTCAAAAACTCTAGAACATTCGCATGCTTCAACACGGAATGGACCCTCATCTCCTTCTCAATCGTCTTGCGTTCCTTGTCAGTTGTTTGTTCGGTCAGTGCGATGACTTTGCATGCTGCTACACGATGCTCTTCCACGTCCACAGCCCGGAAAACACTGGTGAGCTGATTTGGTGAGATTTTCACGCGCAGACCATGGATAACGTAGAGAATGCCACAAAAGTAGAAGAGACCCACGTAGAGAAGCCACCGCCTCCGATTTGCTGGACCAGCTCATAACCTGAAAAGTCAAAGGGCTATAAGCGCTGATGTCGGCCCATGACAGAAGATACTCACCAACGACCTTTGGATAGCGCACAGTCGACATGGTTTTGTGGAAAAAAATGTGTGCCCTGTCGCAACGGGAGGAAAAGAAGCTCGAAAGGAAGTGGTAAACAAAATATGAGCCGAGAACAAAGACCGCGTTTTCTGTGACTCGTTATGTGGTCATGTGCTCGTTACGTTTCGCGATTTATTGGTCACGTCGTCACAGCGCGTCAGACTCCGCGGTTGGACTCAATGAAATATTGTCTTCCTCACTTCGTGAAGATGTATACATGTACAATTGATGTATACAGATCGGTATCGAAGGTCGGATATTCATGTCAGATTTCGAGGACGGTCCTGCCAGTGATGGTTTGTTAAACTCAACAAGGTGGTTGGGGGTTACAAACGGATGGGATTTGCACTATGCAATAGTACAAGGTATATAGAACATCTATCTAAACCGAGTATGTAACTTAGATACGAGCACGAAGCAAAATAATCAAATAGAAGTCTAGGTAATCAAACCGAGGTTGCTCGGCAACCTCAAATTCTAACAATTCGTATGTCGCTCTACCTCCAGGTAGATGTTAACGTCTGAGTTCCTGAGGCAGGGACAGTGTCTTGTCGATTTGGATCAGATTCCCATACGACCTGCAGTACACGGACAATGGTTCAGTTGCCTGAGGGAATGTAATTGAAGATCTACTCACCGATCCATTCGTCTCCTTCCTAATAAACTTGTACTGGAACGTTGTATTGGGTGGTATGTTCACGGTGAGTGTCCAAACAGGGTACGATGCCGTACCAAGTAGAAGCTACCAAAAATCAGCGTTCAGGATGGGAAACGCGGTTGCAAACGAAAATCTCACAGAGGAAGCCGGGTCCCAGTTTCCTAACTGTGGTATACTCCCAGTGACGTAGATATTTTCTCCAAATGTTGTTGTAGCTGTTTGTGCGAACGAGACCGGTACTGGACCGCTACCTGGGCCGCTACCTGTCCCTTTGGAACCGGTATGGATAGCAATAGCACTTCGTGGTTGCAATGATGTAGTGAATGTCCCTCCGCTTCCAACAGTAACTCTGTTGAAGGATGTCAGGACGTAATATTGAATGTGCACATCAAACACACGTACCCAAGACCAGTGCACTGTCCACCTGAGCTCGTCCCACTTATAACATCGCAATAAGTCCCAGCAGGAAGCGAAGTCGTGAAGGTCATAGTCCACGTCGTATCCCCATTATTAATTGCAACAAACCCCGTAGAACCTCTTCCAAAAGCAATTTGCTGAGACTGGGGTGACACCCAATTTGTCATGGACGCAGTTCCAACGGTGTTCCTGAACCCGACCATCCCACTGATCGAAGTGAGGCGATGTTGACAGAGCCAGCCTCCAGCTCCTCCAGTCGCAGAGCAAGTTCCTGCGCCTAATAGAGCATAGCACGTCGTAAGCGGATGACCGATTGATACCAAATTAAATGTACCATTATTAGGAGCGCCTTGATCCGTATTCGTGAAGCCAGAAT